AAAGGTCAGTCAATTTTTGCTGAAGAATTACATCGCATTTAAGAGTTGACGGACTTTTTTCATATATATAGACCCTTCAATCGTATACGAGGCTCCTCTCTTATCTCCCGCGCTGATCGAAACAGCAGGAATATCATAGAACTTACACACGTTCACATTTTTTGTATATATCGAAACATAGAATGACTAGAGGCAAGTTAAGAGTAAGATTATTAAGGAAAATATTCCGAATACGTAATATAAATATGGAAGAGCGAATAGAAATATGCTGTGCAACAATAGCCAACGTCAACCACTAACATCATTCTAAAAAAGCATAGGATCAAAGAACAATGTTTGTTTTTTTTTTCGAGTTTTTTTTTCGCCAAAAAATATTGGCGCAATTCTGTGGCGCGGACGAAGTTGGTACTAAAAAATGGTCGTTCTTGCGCTTGCTATACATTCATCGCTGAATCATCCACTTCTTATTCTATATTCAGCATTGGACTAAAGGCGATGTGTTCCTTTTGCAGAGTGTACTTTCGATCTTACAGCAAATCCCTACTACTAGACCGCGATGTAAATGGGGGAGGGGGGAAAACTCAGATAATCCTCATTACCCAAGGCTCTTGAAAATTCTCAATTGTTTACCCAGTATATATAAATTACGGACAATTTCAGGTTACTTTCTGACCTGGAGACACGCTTAGAGCATAGCTTAGTGCTTGATGACCTATGTGGAATCCTTCTGCACCACTTCGAAACAAATTTTGACGTATACATCAAATACTGCTCAAATCAGGTGAGCGGAGGTTTTAAAGGGTTATTCAGATATCAACAATGTAGTTAAAAGATGGCAGATTTTTACCGTATTCGACATAAAATTAAATCTATGTGATGAAGATGAAGCTTAGAAGTTCTTTCAAAAAACCAAGTATTAGTATGATATCGTCTTGTCAATATGGTGTAAAGGGGTTCTTACCCTATTGAATAACTAACCTTGTTGGGTTAATTATAAGTATCATTTCCAGTGGTTTGTTATGTATGATATCGTCTTGACAATACGAAAAGGACTCTTACCCAACAAAATAACCAATATTGTTTTATTTATTATAAGTGTCATTGTAGGTTTATTATGTATGGTATCATCTTGCACATAACGTGGCAAGGGCTCCTACCCGACTGACCAACCAATTTGGGTTAATTTTGAGCTAGTTTTCAATGAGTTTGTGTCCTTTCTTTAGTGGAAGAAAGAGATTTTTGCTAGATGTCTAAAAATGAGACAAATGTCCCTCAGGTCAGTAATAATAAATAGTACTTAATAATGGATTTAAAACATAGGAGAGCTATTTTGCATTTCTGGAACATTATCTATTCTTATATGAGTTATCAATGAATAGACTAACAGCTTCTCTCTTTAGGTCTATCAAGAACGAACCCTTCGTCGTCTCAAATCAGAGAATCCCGCATTTCTAACTGCTGTGTCCCGAATGGAAGCTGACAAGCAGTGCCAAGGCCTTGATATGCGATCATTCCTCATGTTACCTATGCAACGCGTCACTAGGTACTTCCTATAAATCAATGGATTTTGATGCAATTTGGTAAAAATACTATTTTGCAGGTATCCCTTATTGGTTTATGCCATACTGGATCGCCTGAAAAGGGGATGTGATGAATATGAGGTGGCTACAAAAGCTCTACATGCTGCCAATAGGGTATGTTGCTATGGACCAGAATTTGAGCGCTAATACATCAAATTCATCTTATCTTAAATCTCTATTTATTTGAAAATCAAACTCAATTAGCTATATATCTAAATTATCGTCAAATTTATCTTAGAAATTGCACTTACGGATTTAATTAGACTTTAATAAAGACTTCTTTTAGGTCGTAGGAGAATGCAATGAAGGAGCTCGAAGAATGGAAAGAACCGAGCAGTTGCTTGAAGTTGACAGGCGACTCATCTACAAAGACCCTGACCTAAAGTATGTAAAGACATCTAATTGTTTTAGATTTAATTAGTCGACAAGAGCTTTAGAAAGTGGTGTTTGACAGTCAGATGTTTTTAGGGTTGGCATATCGGAGTGTAAGATCACACAAAATTTTTAATCTGATTAATTTATCTGGTAACCCCATTTCTGTGCATTTCAGAAAAATCGCGTTAGTCTCTAACTGCCGTTATCTGGTTAAGCGAGGTTCACTTGTCCAACTGATGGAGAGGAAGAATAGAAATATTCTGCAGGTTGGTACTATATGTTTCAAATTATTTTGTTCTAAAACCTCGAGTCTTGGGAAATCGTTGCTTTATTCATGGAATAGCATATTTGATTTGATTTGAAAATGCGAGCAGAAGATTTAGTTCTTATCAATAGGCTCTAACTTATGCAAAGAATCAGGCCTTAAGGAAAGAAGTGGGAAATCGAGCACAGGTCTAACA